ATATGAGTCGCGCTTTCTTAAGGGGGATCTCTAATACTATACTCGTATTGTATTGTTTTTAAATGAGATTAAGCGAAGACCCACACGTTTCTAATCAAAGACATGTAAAGTGAATTCATAGTATTGAGAAAGGAAGATTCACTTACCGTTTTCATCCAAATTTCATGTACATGTATTATCCTGTGCTACGGATGACATGACTCGTAAATGGTCAAAAGCGGGTAAAAAAAAATCGTATAACAAAATTCCTACTTTGTTTCAAATCTGCACGTTTTCCATACCAAACAGCTCATAATCAATGTTGATGAAACGTTTGAGTTAATATAATTCCACTCATTATCGAAGCGTTTTGGTGATTTCATGAAGAGTTTCAATTTCACCGGGAATAATCACACATGCTGGATGTATACTTGTTGGGAACAGGGTGTCTCCTCTTGGCGATGGGAAGGTGATACATATGCTTTATTTATTTAAATTTGCATTTTTGGATATATCTTGCTGGAAAGCATATGGTTATTGAGAGAAGCATCAATTTAGGAATTTTGGAAACATATGTTTGGGTTTGACATGCAATTATCATGGTGACAAAGCTTTGGTTTATTATATTAACTTTTTATTACTTATAATCATATTTTATTTTAATAAATTATATTGTTTGTAAATAAATAAGTCGAAATTGAATATATTGACAAACAATTCATGCTAAATGAAAGGCCACATTGGCCACTCTCGTCGCCTCGAGGGGATAGATTCCATTCACAGTAGAGCTAGTATACATATCGTAAGTGGTGTTATACCCGTGATTAATCGGTGTTCAGTGAATTTGTTTATGACAGAAGCAATTCATTTCGGACCAAAAATGGCGTTTCGAACGAAAGTACGCCATTTTCTGACATTGTAAAGAGCCCCTTAATTCGATTTTTGTTCCTTATCCGAATCACCAATAAACAAATAAACTTCACCCCTGAAGGGAAATGTACCTCCGAATAACATTCTTACGCATGTGCAGAAAAATGTAAGTTTATTCACAGTGTATCTGTATAAACCTTTGCATTTGAAGGTAAATGCGTGAAAAAAAAAATGCTTGTTAGTACATAACATGTTATGAAAGATTTACTTGAAGCTCTCAGTGCATAGTACACAAAGTAGTGCAGGGCGTAAAATGTGCGCAGATAGTTAAATCTGTTGAATAACTCATATGGAATCAATAGTGATCGGACAAAGCCAATCACAACACAATCTTTTTTATGTCTAGGTGAAGCAATATTTAATTTCCTTTAAAAGGAAGAACTTGCACTGAAGGAACTTAATTTTCCGAAAATACTAAAGAGATGTTTGTATTCGAGTTTTGGATTAAAGTCGCTATTAAATCAAAACCTTTATTTTAATCGGACAAGAAGAAAACAACATTTTAAATAACTTTTTATATACATTTTTAAGTTGCAATTAAAACAGGCATGTACTGTAAGAAAATGCAAAACAAAACTGCATTGCTATATATATATATATATATATATATATATATATATATATATATATATATATATATATATGTGTGTGTGTGTGTGTGTGTGTGTGTGTGTGTGTGTGTGTGTGTGTGTGTAAATGTAAAGAAATCACAATTTACATAAGCTTAAAAAAGCTGGTCCAGTGTCTTGAGAAGTCGAAAATATGAAAATTTAAGATTAAAAGGGGTAAACAGACGGACAAAAAGACAGAAAGTAATACAATATTGAACAAAATATGATCATAGGAATTCAGCTCAGGTGAATTAAAGGAGACAAGTAAAGCAAATTGAAGGTTTTTTAATGTCATTTGCGTTAATGAATGAAAAATATGTACACATAATCTACACAATCCAGATATAGTAAAATTATAAATCAAACTATCTTTAATTTATATTCAAATTGTTAACAAACACAAAAATTGCAATGATAATAAGGAATGCGTTGAAATATGTACAAAATTAATTGTGGACATGTTGGCAAACATGTGGTAATGCAAAAAACCATAAGAAAATGAAATAAAAAGAAACACCCCACTTTCCAGAAAAGTAACAACAATATAAAATGGGATATATGGAGATAACGACCAGTATTCAAGGTCAAAAGTCAAGAAATACACATCAGGAGTAGAGCAAACGCGGACCTCTAAAACATCAGAGATGAGATCAGGTGTCATGGAGGAGTGAGCATCTCCTGCTGACAGGTTTCACCCGCTCTGTGCTCCTTGTCATGATTGGGAAATAACGGAACAATCCGGTGACAATTCAATGTGTAAATAATGGTCTTACAATTAGTATGAAAAATGTCATTCAGCATTTGACTTCATTAGAGATGTATTTGTTGACAAAGTCATTGTATAGACCATAGAACTTATGAAATAATGATTTTAAAGACTGTTGATATTCCTGTTTCATCAACATGTCAAAAAATTACCTCGTTTTATAAATTGTTCATACGTAGAAAATGCTCTTGCTTATCGAATCAACTCAGAGATCATATAAACCCCGCATGCAGTATAAATAAAGAAACAAAATTGAATAAGTTGAAGGAAAGGTCGATAGAGTTTTCCTAATAGCATAAATGCATTCTTATGTTGAAACAAAAAAAAGTATTTTTAGAAAAAAGAAAATTAATAGTCGGGCTTCTTGCCAACTCTTCCACCTTCACAATAATCATTCAGTATCTTGATACAGGAAAAACGGAAAATACTTCGTAAGACAACAACAAGATATTTTGAAAACAAAAAAAAAACAAAAAAAAACAAAAAAAAAAAAAAAAAAAAAAAAAAAAAAAAAAAAGAAAAATAAAGTTAAACAAATATACATAATGTAAATATATTGCATCAAAACATTAGATGCTTAATATGGATGTGTAGGAAAAAGTCAATATATATAAGCATTGGTTATCTTTCTGGATAATATTAAGAGCCATTCTCTGTAATGACTTGAACTTTTACATAGGAGCTGTGGCACGCATAGTCTCAGAATTTCTCCAAACTCTCTATGATAAAAGTCTTTGATACCGTAAATTCAAATCAGGCAAAAATTGGTTGCTACGTGTCATGGTTACCATAGCAACATGTTGTAAAGTTTGAAAAATGGCATTTTTCAACATGTTCAGAGTCCCACAGTTAACGTTTGCAGCAAAGCAAACAAGTGGCAATGACTGTTTCTGAAAGTTGAAGGTCTGATGTCTTAAATGCATGATAAACATGTTTGGTAAATCAACTATAACATACGTTACTATGGAAACAAAGTATTCAAAAGTAATAATTTTGTTCATTTAATTTTATAAAGTCATACACTTAAGAATAAAAACAATTATAGGTTGAAATGCAAGCAAATAATAGACAAGAGATCCTTGTAACATATACCAAGGACAAAATATGATATTTCTTATAGGTTGGCAATGGTTGCCATGGTTTTAATAGCATGAAGGGATTTTAAATTTACTCCCTTATTGTTTTAATCTTATCCTATCTTTTTAAAAAGCATATTTCTATATAACTGATGATCAATTTTTAAAGGCCTTGGTGTGACCCTAATTTTCACATTTCAAAAAATTCAATTTCAATTCCTTAAATAGTGCGTTGCTATGGAAATAAGGCGAAAAAACATGCATAAAAATCTGAAAAATACTCCGTTTCCTTGGATACGTACCCTTGTATGTAGATTCCCAAAACTTTTATGATTGATATATGTGAACAACTAACCTGACTTTCAATTTTGACTACCACCCAATCTCTAACTGGATGCAAAAAGCTGGCACATAGGGTCTAATATTGACATAAAATTAACAAAATCGAACATTTTCTCTTCTTGGTAACCATAGCAACAGTGTTGTATTTTTCAACAACCTGTATCAATATATGATATTCAACTTTAGTTCTATGAGATAAGTACTATTCAAGGTGATTCAAATAATATGTTTCTTGATTAAAAGGTTAGTAAATTCCTAAGGCAGCAAAAAAAAAATCACTTTAAACAACTAGTACGTTGTTTCCATGGTTACACTGCAAAGTAACAATTAATCTCAATTTTTCTTATGTTGTCGGTGTTGCAAGGTCCTAAGGATGTATATGTGCCAGTCATGAATTTTATTGTTTTTCCTCAAGATAGTAGCATTAATCCAATTATAGCAACAGATTTTGCATGGGGACACTGTGTTACCATGGCAACCATGAAAGTTATTTTTAGAATAATACTGGCAATACCTAATTACATAAGGTAAATATTTTTCATTGCTTTTCTTAGGTTTTTGATTGAGTTTGATCATGTAACATCTATCATTTGTGAATATTGAGCGTTTTTCAGCATTTTTCAGCATCTAAAATGTATTCCAAATGTGCCCATGGTTACCACTTACTTAGAGATAAATTCTAAATAGTTTCTTTATAGCATAAGTGGCAACAAGGTGTCATGTTTTTGGGAGAATAGTGTGTTTGTTTTTCTTAGTCTTTATTAAGGCTTAATAAAGAATTAAAGTAACTGAAAATCTCAATTTTTTCAACTTTTCTGGCTGTTACCATGGCAACCAAGACACATAGCAACGAAATTTTATTTAATATATCTTTCTGGTGTCAAGTTGTAATAATGGGCAAAGTTTCATCAAAATCGATGACCATGCGTGGCAAAGAAGTTTAAGTGGTTACAGAGAATCGCTATTAAAACAAAGGAATCGAAATTGTGAAGAGCCAAACTGAAAATGAGTGTATTGTGGAACAAAGACGTACAATAAACAATTATTCATGTGTTTATAAAAATAGAATTTGTACAAAATTGTATTAAACCAATTACATGTATTATTTATATAGGAACATGTATTTCAGTTGTACATTGAAAGGGAGTTATTTTTTATCTTAAAATAAAACACTTATTAATCCTAGTTATAATTCGACGTCACATTTACCGCGGTTTAATATATCGAGTATGTTTGATTAAACTTTTTGAAGCTTAAATAGGTGGATTTGTAATTAGATTCCATATATTGCTTTAGAATACTTAGAATATAATTGCACCTAGACAAATTTTGACCATTTTTATTAATTAACAAATCCCTCTATGTCCCTCTTCAATTCATTATAAAAAAATTCCCAATCCTTTTCTATTGATGTGATAAAAGATTCAAACCAGTACATCAGTTTTTCTATCCAGGTAAGTCTACTGAAATAATTCTTGAAAAACAACGATGGAAAATCACGCTTGTCGGCTATTCGGTCTATCATAAACCCTGATGTTCGGCATACGGATGAAGCAATTTCATTATTGAAGATATTTAGTGCGTCTAAAAGTGCGTGTACAAAAGGGATTTCTTCTGCCACTTTTTTAAACAACGACAATACCAGTTCCTTAAAAAATTCCACGGAGAGCCTTTCTAAAGTTTTGACGTAAACGTGATTGATCATTCTTGCTGCAAGAGATCCAATCCTGATAATGATTCCTGTTAGACCAAGAGAAGGGAAAAGAACACGCTCGATGAAATACTCCTCTCCAAGATGAAGGGCGTGGATCATTGTGTTATTGCATTGCCAACTAAATGCATTAGTGTCTTTGATTGAAGCCCCTGAATAATTATATAAAATGTTTAATCTATTGATATTCATGCCAAATCAATTTTAAATTTTTAAATGCTTAAAGAGGGGATTGAGGTATTTACTTTTAACAAGAGTATTCATTCAAATATTAGGAATTAAAAAAAAAACCAAGAACGAGAAATGAGTAATTAAATGACACAACAATATGACTGTCATTCAGTGTATCATACGATATAAAAAGAGCTGGGTAGGTTGGTCGTTACATCATCTTTCTTTATACTCTGAAAAATGTACTTGATTCAATTTAAATGATAGAATTTTAGGCAATCGATCCTTTGTTAAAATCTTTCATTGTGATTAATAATACTATTTATGGCAGGTATTGCATATTTCTCCTCACAAAAAATATGATTGTCTAGTAATCAGTAGATTAGAAAGCTGAATGCCACATTTATTTGTTAAAAAGTTAGTGGCAAAATCAATTTGTTAATGTCGAAACCCTTCCTTTTTATCTTTTTTATCAATTTATTTATTATTATTATTATTTTTTATCCTTTTTTATCTATTTAAAAAACACAAAATTAAAATTGAAAACTTAACTTTGTTTCTTACTTCGGGATGTTTCTATATATACTACAGGTACTAAGGTAGTTTTACTAAATTAAGGCGAGAGAGCAAATGCAAGGACTTTACGTCTGTAAGATTTGTGTTTTATGAGACACATTATAGAAAGGCCATATATATTGACTACTTAAGTTAGGAATTATTGCTAACGTCTCAATGTTTGAAAAGAACTTTTGGTCTGTTTTGTTCCGATGCAAGCATAAAAATAAAAAGGATCAAACTCTTTCTCTCACTTCAATGTACACTGTAATATATAAAAGGTATTTAACGGAAATATCGAATACATTGGAATAAATATTTTATGTGAATTACCTTCCGAAATGCAGCAACTTGATAACATGCCAGCCAACAAGACAAGAAATCTGTTGAATGTCTTCATTTTTTACCTATATCTGAATAAAATGACAAAATTAAAATAATCAAAATAATCAGTGAATTCCGACCAAAGGTTAACGGGATATCCCAAAATAATTATTTGTCAAATTTCTCATTATTAAGATAAAGAACAATCGTATTTCTTTTTCTGAAAGCTGACTATTTGGGAAATACAACATCATCAATATTCAGAAATATGCATTTATCTTGCTTTCTAAGCTAACATATCACCTTTTATTTTCTTTTTCGATTATGAATGGCATTTTTGTGGTGAAATTTAAAATTATTATTTAAAACAAAAAGTGTACCTCAATGCAGAGCGATATATTGACTATTCATAGATATTTATTTTTTTGAAGCCATCGTCAATTGAATTGATGCATGCAACAAATCAGGTAATTCAAAATAATAAAATTTTACAAAACAAAATCGATAATTTCAACATATCGGCATTCTTTATAAATGCATTGTATTTTTTAACAACTGTGACTTATAGTATAGTAGATTGGTTTGAATCGATCACAACACATAATACCCCTTCCTTATTTTAAATACTTAGTTACGTGTCTTACCTTCTTAAATCCTTGAGATGTAATAATAAATGAAAACTTCCCGCAGCTTTTTCTTAATCATGATGACGTGCCTTTAATTTTAGACTTCCAACGTGGAGGAAAACCATTTTTCCAACAGAAATTTATTTATAGCACATACAACAAAAGCTGCCGAGAGTAAAGTACCTGCACACATAATCGTGATAAAAGAATATACGTATGTGAAAAACTTTTAACTAATAGCTGCCGTAACATTCATTATTATCAAAATATATCAAACTTTATTAAATGCATTTTCGTTTAACGATGGCTTCAAATATAATCAAAGTTTAAGAAGTATGCTGATGTTCGACCAGATTACTTCATTTTATTAAATGAATATGATATAAATAAAATAAAGTGAACATTTAAATTCTTGTTCATTTGAAGAAAAAAATGTCAAAGAGTAGCATTGAATGAAAGAATATAAACATTGTGATGTCAATTTTAAGTGCTAATAATGTCAGAAATTTTTTAAAACTTTAGTAAAAGACGGATAATTCCTGTTTATTAACATTTATTTATGTATCAAGATCATGAATACAGGAGTGATTTTTAGTTGTCATCTTTGTCATAATTTATTTAAGCATTTCCTGAGTATTTATATCTGTGAACACATTCGAAAGAAGTGTCTAAATGGAAAGAAAAAAACATAAATTATTTTTTTATTATTTATGTCCCTGAAATAAATTGATTTTGTAATACATGACCTCGATCTCAAATGTCAAATTATGGTATCTAGACTACGCTTATATTCTGGATATTTCTATGGGTTTTTTTTATATATGCATGCTTGAAAGTATAGAGAAATGCTTATCATTTGAAATTTAGAAATAGAAAATAAGATCGGATTATAATGAGAAAGGTAAAGATAACAAAGATTGATCAATCTCAAAAAAATCTAAAAACAATACAAATCGGTGAACAGGAATGGAACACAATTAGTGTCGCCTGAATTCAAACAGATTCTTAGAAGACCTGGTCACCAGGACTACATACTAGATAATGTCAGTGAGGAACTCCAGCATCTTTTATATATCAACATGAAAGTACGTGTGTAGAATCAGACTGATTTTAATAAAGTCAGGTTTTAGATGACATATCACAAGATATGAAACTTTATGAGTTCCATTTTTTTTATTGAGAGAGAGCAGTTGTCTATGATAACAAAAAAAAAAGCATGTTCTTGAATTTATCATGAGAAATGGGTGTATAAAGAGTGGAAATGTTGTATTTTTTTATGCTATTGAATTTTGAAAAGTTTCTTCATTTAAAGAGTCTTTATATTTCTTCGGAATTTTTGAGAATCCAGATTTGTTTTACACTATTTCTTGAATATATGGCACATGTAGCACATTATGTCTAAAGATTTTTTTTAGTGAGGAGTAAGGATATATAGAGGTAAGGAAAAAGATCTTTAAAAATTATTGTGCTCGATTTGTAAGATTACTAAATTCTCGAGAGACTGAGATTAGAGAAATGATGGGCAAATCATAGAGTGGAAAGATTTAATCGATAACGCATCTTTTTTAAACATGGAAAGAAATGTTGGCAGAGATTACCACGAGATACGTAAGATCAAAGACTGCATTGAAAGCGTGCCATGTGTGAAAAACCTAGGTATGTTTTTCGATCTACACTTTACTATGGAAAAACAGGTATCCTGGATCGTCAAGTCATGCTATTTCAAAATATGCAATATTGGACGTATACGGCGCTTCCTTACCAAAGAAACCTGCAAGACAATGGTGGACGCTGTAATCACTACCAGATTGGACTATGGGAACTGCCTACTTTATGGAGTTTCAGAGAACATCCTCGAACGCATGCAAAGGGTCAAAAACATCAGCTCGTCTGGTTATAAGATCATCAAAAGGGGCGCACATTACCCCTGTTCTAGCAGATCTTCATTGGCTACCCGTTTACTTTCGTCCACAACATAAATAATTGTCGTATGTTTAGCAATCGTTACACGGGTTAGCTCCATCTTAAATCGAGGATCTCATAATTGAATACAAGCCCGCCAGATCACTGCGATCTAAGTCAACATCGCGGTTAGTTATTCTAAAAATCCAGGACATAGACATACGGCGAATGTCAGTTCTTAATATACAAGTTCTTAATATAATAGTTTTTTTTCAATGTTTGCATTATCAGAACGGTATGTACCAAATAAACTATATGTGAGGCATTTTACATCTATTTTTGGACAACCTATGCATTATCGTAAATGACATATAATTGACTGATTTATTCCTAAATGCAGTTTACTATATGTGATACAAAAATCGAAAATTAAGTCAACATTCAAGGTCTTTCGCTTAGGAAATCATGATCAAGTGCAACTGACTTATATTTAAACATTGCTCATATTTACATTATACGTTTTTAAAAGCAAAAATCGATTCGCTATATAAATACAATCTTTTATGCAAATACGACATAGCAGTTCTGTATTTAGATCAATAAGTTACAGATCTGTGCCAAAAGTGAAGATAATTTTATTTTTCTCTATATATTTTATTGAAAACTTCATATACTAGTAGTTGAATCGCTGGCAAATGGTCAATATTTGTCCACTTTCATTATTTATTTCTGTGCTTAAACCAGAAAATGTGTAGATATCTTTTTCTAAAAGATCATTACATTTTAGGTTTTAGTAAAAGATAGCTTATCATATACATCTGTTCTAAAGTTTCATTCAATGTTGACTATATAATTCATTGTGCGTATATCACTTAAATTTTCATGGCGTACTTAAATTACAAATAGACGCTGATCGGATAAAAACATTGTTTTTATCAAATATAGCAATTGTTTGGATTATCGAAAAATTTGTGGTAAAATATGTCAAAAAATGCTGTCAAAAAATACAAATCGGGAGCAGCGCAAAGAAGGACTTCTAAAAACATCGGAGGTGGAATCAGGTGACATGGAGTAGTAAGCATCCCCTGTCAACCGGTAACACACTGCCTGTTCCTTGTCATGATCTGGCACAAAAAAAAAATCGTAAAAAAGTAGTATGAAAAACGTCAGTCAGCATTTGACTCAATGATAAATTGTATTTGCTGACAAGGCCATTTTATCATTCATAGAACTTGCAAAATGCTGACTTCAAACGTTAATAGCTTGCCTCATTTTAGAAATTGTTCGTACTTGGAGCATGATCTTGCGTATAGAATGAAATGGTAAATATAAACCCCATATGTAGGTGATTAGAGTATACTTTTACATAAGTTATGGAATTTGACGACAGAAAACTTTCAGAAGCCATCACAAATATCATAAAGTTTTGTTGTTAGGTTACTATTAACGTATTTTTACTTGTATTTTTCTTGTAAAATATCCAAATATGAAGCAGATGTGCCAGAATATGTAGTGTCTTTTATTTAAAGCTCACTGGGATATATCGAGTTAACATTTGAATGGAAGTAACCGTTATTTATTGACAATACGTCAGCGATGCATCTAAATGTCGAATTGAAGGCCAAGTGTCTTCTTCTTGTCATGTGTAAGTTATTGAATAACTTCTGCTTCTCATGAATACAAGAATTGGTCAGCTAATAACGGGATGCAATTGATACATATTGGAATTCCCACAGGTTGTTGGAAGTCTTGATTTCCAAATGTTGTTGTCAAGCAGAAAATTAAGCATATTTTTAATATCTACTTCAGGGTACTTGTGTATACAATCAGAGTGATTAAAAAAAATAAGCAAACGACCAAAGACAAAATAATTAAATTAATGAGTTCCATTTTTTTTTTTTTGAAAAAGCAGCTATGGTAGATATTGGAAGAATATTCCATGGAACCCGCTATGTATCTTTGTAAGGATTTTTATGAGGTTAAGGAATTCAGTATAGGTATGAGATTAAAGACCATGTTGATTGTTTGGAATATTAAAAATATTTTTAAACTGACATATGATCTTGAAGAAAGAACCTCCTCCTTAGTAAGGAAGCTATGGTTTAAGTTGGATTACCACTTGCTGAATAAAATCCCAGTTCCTCTAAAATACAATAAAAATAATGAACCCTACAAGCAAGGATTCAAAGATAAAAAAAGACAAAGACAGAATGATAGGTGGTTTTATATTGCCAAACAATCGCTTAATGCGAGATTTCAACATCCATCTGATACATTTACCCCATTCTGACAAAGTGTCAAGGTCTTCTTTTTCATGTCTGGCCCATCGCCTGGCGTAATCTTCCACAGAATTCATAATATTTATGAAATTAGGGTGCCAGATGAAAGATCGGGATTCCCTAAATTACACTGTCAAATTCAATGATTCCCAACACTGTCGACATTGTCGTTGATACCATGTGGAAAGGCCATGCCAAATGTTCTAATCCAGTATTCTTCTTTTGTCAATGAAAGGTGTGGTACTTGTAATAAGTAATACGTCAAATATGTAAGCAAAAAAAAA